CCATCCTTGGGGATTTGCAATCTGCGAAACTGTCGCCACTCGAGGGATGGGGGGGGCATTTAAGTGCGGCGCTACGCAGATCAGAGTGGGACCTCGCCATCTCTGGGGGGGGGGCTGCGACTTGCGAAATATCCAAATTGATCGAGGGCTGCTGGGGGGCAGCTTAGTTCGGTGCTGCGCAGATCTGAGCGGGACCTCGCCATCCTTGAGAGGTCTGCGATCTGCGAAAGAGGCGTCACTTTTGAGAGATGCAGATGTTTTGGACAGCTCGCGAGTCGCGCAGCGCGCGAGCCTCCCGAGCAGCTTCCGTTCGCAGCAAAGATAAGGCCGTGTCACGTCAACACTCCCTTATAAATTCTTTCCAGCTCTCATGGCCACACGTTGCGCAAGGGTTGGGTACATCATCGGGGTAATTCAATGCCCGTGGCTGCTTCGGGGGGCGCTCTGGGGTGTCTCTTGGGGGCCTCTTGGGGGCATGTTTGGGGTCTTGGGGTCCGTCTCGTGGTGAAGAGCTCGTGTGCTCCCTGCGGGTTCCCCTCGTGGGGCCCTCTTCAAGGCATTCGTGGTCGTCTTGAGGGCGGGCCCTTTTGGGCCGTCGGTGCCTCCTCTTGGACACCTCTTGGGCCATCTTATGCCCGTCTGGAGGGCCTCTCGGACCGTCTTCAAGTTTCCCATCGGAGCTCCGTTTGGAGCCCTGGAGCCCTCGGACCGACTTGGGCCGTCTGGAGCCCTCGGACCATCTTCGGCCCGTCTGGAGCCCTCGGCCCGTCTGAGCCCACTTGGGCCATCTTGGGCCTCTCGGACCGTCCTAAAGTTTCAGCCTTCAATGGCAAGAACCGAAGATCATTCAAATCCTTTTGGAAAATGTGTTATCTGTGCAAATTGATGCCCTGTTGGGACGTCTCCGGGGCGTCTTGGACAGTCTTGAGGCCATCTTGGATGTTCTTGAGGCCTCTCTGGCGTGTTTGAGACCTTCCAGAGCCATCTCAGAGGGCATCTTCTGCGTCTTGGCGGTCACGGACTATGGATTTCGAGGCTCCGAGAGCTCCGGTGGTGCGTCGAAGAGTTCGTGCCCCCACTCCCCACCCACATGTCGTGCGATTTCGGGCTCCGGGGGAAGGAGAAAGCGGGGGGGAAAAGCCACATGTCTCACATCTGTTTTTTACCCCCGGCAAGCGGGGGTCGGCGGGTCGGGCTCAGTTTTGAGGACGAGGATGCCTCCTGTGGGCCGCTCCGAGGGTGAGCAGCCGCGGCGGGAGACGCGGCGCTCTGAGGCGGATGCGGAGCAAGACCTCGAGAAGTTCAGGGCCTACGCTCACCGGTGCGTGCGGCGCCTGCAGAGCGCGCTGCAGCTCGGTCGAGGCGCCCCGCCCGCCGGGCCCGAGCAGGTAACCCGGCTGGTCAGCCTGCGCGAGGGCGCCTTTTTTGACGACGACGACGAGCTCTTTGCCGAGGGAGGGGAGGCTGAGGAGGAGTGCGTGCCGGTCGGCGACCGTCGCTCCAGAAGCCTGACCGAGGCGTCCGGCAGTTCGGCTGCCAGGGTGGCTCTCCACGGCCTCTATCGCCAGACAGCCGACAAGAAGAGCAGTCAGCACGATCGCCGGGGCAAGCACTCGGGCCAGATCGAGGCCATCGCGACATGCATTTTGAAGACGTTGAAGGGTCAGCAGCAGAGGAGGCCAGGCCACTCATCGTCTGCGCCACCAGTCGTGGTGGAGTTGGGCGCTGGGCGAGGGCTTTTGGGCAAGCTCGTGAGCTCCATGGGAGGCATGCCTTTAGTGGTGGTCGACCTGAAGGAGGTTCGCACAGGCTTCGAAAAGGCCTCGGAACCGCAAGCTGCTGGAGCTGCTCAGGCTGCCCTTAAGTCTACAGAGCCTCCATCTGGGCCTGCAGCGTTCAATTCTTGACGCTTCGCGTATCTCTACCGGCCCATCCAGCAACGATGCCCGGGCAAATTGCATTGATCAGAGAAGTGCGGGAGCACGCAGTGGAACAAAGGGGGAACAGCCATAAAACCGAAGATCAGGATCTGCTTGAGCAGGCCAAGGAGTCAACCATAACATGCCTTCGCGGATCTTTCGATATGGGGGCCTTTTGGCAAGGGCCATCGTGGAGCCATGTTGGAGGCCAACGAGGTCATGTTGGGACACTCCTGAAGCTCTCTTGGGGCTCACTTGCGGCCCTCTTGGGACAATATTGGAAGAGATCGATCAGAAAGAGGTCTGAAGCCTGCTGGGTGGTCTTGGGGCCGTCTTGGGGTACTAGTGTTCCCCTCTTGGAGCTATCTTAAAGCTTCCAGAGCCTACCGCCAGCAGAAAGACGAGAACGCAAAAATCATAGATTGTAGTGGCCTCCGGCCAGTGCCGCCGATCCGGGGGCGTTCTTGGTGCGACCTGTCTGTTGGAAGAGCAGGTAGCATGGCATGGGGATGCTGGAGACAAGATGAAGCGTTGGAGAAGGAAAGACAGTTGTGAGAGGGGAGGGTGGAGGTATGGAGGTAACAGGGGGTCGAGGAGGGGGGCGCGAGTGGAGAGGAAGGCGCGGGCCGCTTTCGGAGGGAAGGGGGGGAGAGGAGAGGGGAATCAGGGGAAAGGAGGAGGTTGAGGACGAGGAGGAGGAGGAGGAGGAGGAGGAGGAGGCGGCGGCGGCGGAGGAGGAGGGGAGGAGGGGAGGAGGAAGAGGGGAGGAGAGGAGGAGGAGGAGGAGGAGGAGGAAGAAGAAGAAGAGGAGGAAGACTAAGAGTGGGGGGGAGGACGAGGAGGAGGAGGAGGAGGAGGGAGGAGGAAACGGAACAGGAGGAGGAGGAGGACGGCCCCCCCCCCTGCCCCCTGGAAACGGACCCCTCCCCCTCTCCTCCACCCCTCCCCTGGAAACCGGACCCCTCCCCGGCACCTCCCCACCCTCTACTCCTCCCCCCCAACCGACCCCCTCCCCTTGTCCTCCTCCCCCCCGCCCCTCCTGGAAACCGGACCCCCTCCCTCTTCTCCTCTCCCCCCCCCCTCCTCTTCCTCCGCCCCCCCCTCTGGAAATCACACCTCCCCTCCCCCCCCAGAATCTGGACCTCCCCCCACTTTCCTTCTCCCAACCCACCTCTGAAACCGAACCCCCCTCCCCCCCCCTCTCTCCTCCTCCTCCTCTTCCTCCTCCTTTTTCTCCTCCTCCCCCCCCCTGGAAACCAGACCCCCCCCTCACCTCCTCCTCCTCATCCTCCCCCCCCCTCTGAAACCGTACCCCCCCCTCTCTCTTCTCTCCCCCCCTGGAAACGGACCCCCCCTCCCCCCCTCACCCCTGGAGACCAGGCCCCTCCCCCCTCCTCTCTTCCTCCTCCTGCCCTCCCCCTGGAAACTGGACCCCCCCTCCCGCCTCCCCCTCTCCTCCTCGCCCAGGTCCTGAAGGGGTGGTTTGGGGGGTGGGGGTGTCATACACGGTGGGGGTCGGGGTCGGTTCCGGGTGAGAGATTGCAGGGTGGGGGAGCGCAAGAACACATGTCCCGAGGGGGTGGTCTAGGGGGCGGGGGTGTCAGACACGGTGGGGGTCGGGGTGGGTTTTGGCCGAGAAATTGCAGAGTGGGGGGGCTTACGAACAGAGGTCCCGAGGAGGTGGTTTGGGGGATGGGGGTGTCAGACACGGTGGGGGTCGGGGTGGGTTCCGGGTGAGAAATTGCAGGGTGGGAGGGCTTAAGAACAGAGGTCCCGAGGGGGTGGTTTGGGGGTGGGAGTGTCAGACACGGTGGGGATCGGAGTGGGTTCTGGGCGAGAAATTGCAGGGTGTGGGGGCTTACGTAAGAGCAGAAGTCCCGAGGGGGTGGTCGGGGGGGTGGGGATGTCAGACACGGTGGGGGTCGGGGTCAGTCCGGGTGAGAAATTGCAGGGGGGGGTTAAGAACAGAAGTCCCGGGGCCTGAATGGCGTCAGCCATGGCGTCCCCCCCCTCTCTCCTCCCTCACGGGCCTGAATGGCGTCAGCTATGGCGTCAGCCCCCCCACCCCGACAGAGCGAAGCTTCAGCAAGCTCCCCGCCCCCCTCCCCCTTTCCCTGGCCTGAAAGGCGTCAGCCATGGCGTCAGCCCCCCCCCCGCCGACAGAGCGAAGCTTGAGCGAGCTCAAGCCCACGCTCTCAGAAACTCACATGCCGGGTCGGCGGATTTCCGTTCGGTTTTGCAAGGATATGAGCATTTTGGGTGCCTCATTGGGAGGCTGCATGGCCACTCAGGGCCGTCTTGGGGGTGTGCCAGGGCCTCTTGGAGGCATAGTTGTGGGCAGATTGAGCCATATTGAAATAGCTTGCTTCATCTTGGAGGCTATCTTGGGCCTTCTGAGGCCGTCTTGGAGTCACGTCGGCCAAGAAGCCTCCCAAGGCGCCCCCGAGATGCCAGAATATGTGGAAAAAGCATTGTGTTTCAAACGACGTTAGTTTTGAGCGAGGGGGGGGGTCCTCGGTTGGTCCAGCCCCCCTGAAGCTGCTAAACTCGCTTCGTGGGGCCTACTCGTGGCGGTCTTGGAGCCGTCTTGGGCCCTTCAGGGGGCTCGAAGGCCCATTGGGAGCGAGAGTGTGAGACTGCAAAATTTTTGGACGCTCAGACGACCCGCCGCTCCCCCCGTCCAGGCCCAGCGGGAGGGCTGAAAAAGGGGTAAGCCCTTTCCCGAAAGGGAAGAAGGGGGTTGGAAGAGGAAACGCTCTAAACCACCAAAGCCCTCGAGGGCGATTGGGATTTGGTGAACGCGTACTCCTCCAGAATTACGCAAGACATCGGCGACCTGGACATAGAGAAGATCCGGAGTTCTCAGGGGGGTGCCCGTCCTCTCGTCCTCATCGCCAAGCATCTCTGTTCGGGAGCTAGCGACGTCGCCGTCAGAATGTGTGTGCGGGCTTTCGAGAGCAGCACCGCTGCTGCGGAAACCGCGGCTGGCCGCAGAGCAGAGCCGGAATCTGACCCGGCGGCACTACGGGGGGCCATGGGATCTTTTCCGTCGAGTGGACACGTAGCTCCTCCCCCGGCAGCCACGACCCCGGAGATCCCTCACCACACTCAGCCGCCCACAAATCTCGAAGAAGAAAACATAATAGGCATAGATTGTCGGAGCGCCGCGAGGATTTCTTGGATCTGCGATGGACCCTCTGGCGGCGCCGCCCCTGGCGCGCTCCGCGCGCCAGGGAGGGGGGGAGAGGGTTCGGCGTGCAGCGCCGATTCAAGAAATCCGCGCGGAGCTCCACAAGTTGATGTTTATAATGTGTTCTCTTCTTTGAAAATCCTGGAGTCCTATTCGCGCTGGCCCCGTGCTGTCACCACAAGAACCTGCAATACGAGACCTATGCGGGCAGGGATTGGTGGGAGAAGCAAGGGTTGAGCGACAGAGAGTTCGCTTTGGCGAAGCAGCTCATCTTCCTGAGCAAGGTCCCCGGCCTGCACGACCAGAACGACCACACGTGCCGCCGCTGGAAGTTGCGCGCCATCTGGACCGCAGCCGAGCTGAAGAGGCTGGGCCTGCTCGCGCGAAGAGCGGTCGAGGAGGGCCGCCTTCAGTGCCTGAGGTCACAGTCATCCAGGCCCTCCAGATGGGGTCCGAGCAGATGAGGTCGAAGGAGCGCGCCGCATCGCCGACGCATCGGCGATGCGGCTCGATGTGGAGCCCGATTTGATCCACGCCGACGGCGCCGACGCATCGCCGACGTCGCCGATGCATCGCCGATACACTGGTGATGCATCGGCGATGCAGCGCGATCCTCAGACCCCGTCTGCTCGGACCCCACTTGGAATGCCTCCAAGTCAGGGCACTGTTCCATCCACACCCTCATTGTGGAGTATTGCCTGCCATCCCTCACTCCCGACAACTTTCTGCTGCTGGCCTCGACGGAGCCCATCGAGCTGGGGCCTGCTTTTCTCGAGACTCACCTCCTGCCAGCACTGGAATCCGATCCCGGAAGCTCTGGGGAAACAGCAGCAGAGGGAAAAGACGTGCAGCTGGACAGCGTTCAAGACGGTCTCGGGACGCTGAGCCTGACCACCAGGCGGCGAGAAACCGGCCTGCTTGTGAAGTTGGTGCCGAAGCCCGTGTACGCCGCGCAGGGAGAGCGAGTGAGCGAGTTCTTGCAGGAGAACCGTGATTCGGTGTGTCCCATGATGGAAAGCTGTCACGCCTGCGACGCCGCCCTGGGCATCCAGGTCGTGATGAGCAAGACTGGGAAGAGGGATGCGGCCACCGATCACCGGAACATGTTGATAACAGCAGCACCGCGCTCCTCTTCGGATCCAGACCCGCTGCCAGCGCTGTGCAACGCTCTGCTTCAGCAGCCTCTTCTGGCATCCGCTTTCGACCAGTTCTACCCTTTTCGCGCCGTCTTCGACGTGCTCAAGGCCGAGAAGCTGTTCGAATTGACGGCGGAGAAGCCGCTGGGATGCGGAGATAACGCTGCCTTCGAGCTGTGCGAGCTGTCCGAAGATAGTCTTGAGCACTACGTGACCGAAGAGCTGCGAGCAGCGGTGAGACTGCACTTTGGGGACGTGTCGTCGCCAGAAGCCTGTTCGAATAATCCTTTTCTGCTCAAGGTCCACGTCTGCCCCCGAGGCAGCTTGCTAGCCAAAGTCATAGACATGGCCTCGGTGCTCCTGGAGAAGGTCGTGCTAGAAGTTCTAGGGCCAGATATTGCGTCCAAAGACTCAATGGAAAAGGTGGCCCGCATGGCTGCGGGCTCCAATCAGAACACGCGCACGCTCTGCGTCGGCCTCTGGCGCGGCCACGGAGCGGTGTCCTGTGTGGGGATCAGTCTTACGCGGGTAGCCGACGAATTTGACCCGGCCCGGCTGGGCCCGGACATGAGGCGAGCTTTGCCAGGGTCAACGAGCTTGGGCAAGTGCTGGCGGCACCGGCTGTACGAGCTCTCTCTGCGAGCCCACTCCAACCAGATCGCCGAGGACGTGGAGCTCCTCGGGGAGTTTGAGAGGGTGCTCAGCCTGGACTCAGCCAGCAGCCCGGCAGTGGTTTTTCACCCTGGAACAGTGCTGGCGGCTGGCGAGACCGGCCAGTTTTTGGACTGCTTGCCTGGTCTCCCCACCTTCGCGCTCCACGGAGCCGACATCCTGACCTCTCGGCCCGAGGAGTCAGCCGTTGCCCCGCTGGTGTTGCTGGATCTCGGTCCGAGGGCGGGGTGGCAGAGGGCCGTAGACCTGTTGGTCGAGGCCTGCGTCACCTGGGGGCCCCGGCCAGAGCTCTTCATCCTGCGCCTGACCGCGAGTGACTGCGGGAAGGCCGACCAAAGACGAGGGTACAAGGGGTGGCAGCAGTCCGTGACCATCCGAGTGTTCAGCGCGCTGAGAGAGAGGATCGGCACGGACCACAGCCTCTCCCTGCAGGTAAACCACTTGCTCTCGGACGAGGGCGCCGAGCGGACCCTGCTGTTGCGGCGGCGAGCTAAGACCGAGCTTCCGTGCCAAAGTTAGAACTCCGAGTGTTGCTCCAATATTCTGAATATGGTTTTAGGATCGACCCGCGTAGCTTGCAGTCGTGGCTCTGGCACGTGATCTCAGCTCTCTTGGCGCCGCTGCCGTCGACGCGCGCTCTTCAAAGTGCGGGACAGGCTCTGGTAAAGTGAAGAGGCAGAGAGTCCAGAGAGAGAGGAAGTACAGTAGACTTGGGCGCAACAATTTAGAAACAGGCCTGCTAGCAGGTGCCCCACGGAAACTTTGTGTCCCCCGATGCCCTCGAGGGCGAGAGAAGCGCTGGGGCACCTCAGGACCATCAAAGATCGACGGGAAATGCGCCGCAAGATTCGCTATGCCAAGATTCTTATCGTATTACGTGTCTACTGTACATCAGAGAATCCCCCGAGGGCGACACTGGGTCCAGGGAGCCGGAAATCTGACATCAAAGACGCGCGATAATGGGGACAATTGTGACTTTGCTCGCTCATTAGTTTAGGTCCCAGAATCACTAGCCCTCTGACAGAATCCAGACTCGACACTGAAATCGCATCTGCACAGGTATGATAGATTAGTCTGACACACAGCTAACTTCGACCACGCTTTCCGATCTCGACGGGCAGTCGAATGCGTTGCCAGTGGCCAGCACGCCCGACGGCTCCCAGCACTCCGCTACTCGTCTTAGCTGCGCCCTATATGGACTCCTGGCTGGTCGATACATTCGCGCACATTTCGGCGCTGGAGTGGCTGCTGCATCTGGTGGTGTAGTGTTTGGTAGTGGCTTTTCTGTGCATCGTGGCCACCGACCACTTGATGTTGCTCGTGAGTCTCGCCTTAACAGAAGCGCGTTCCACCCAGCTCTGGGCCGTGGGTCTCCACTGGGGCTTGGGCCACTCATCCAGGATCCTGCTCGTTCTGATGAGCGTCAAGCTGCTAGGCTCGCTGTCGTACGTCACTCTGACATATGTGGTCCGTTGCGGCCAGGCCTTGGTTGGAGCAGGCTTCATCGCACACAATCAGCATGGGCAGGGAACGAATAGGAACGAAGACCGACAGCACTTCCTGCCAATGTTAACCAGGATTCGCCGTCGGTGTTGTCGCGGACGCTGTCCGCGTGAGGCCACAAGTCGCCGGTCCAACAGCGCCCGCCGTCGACCTTGGACCACTTGCCGTTGCCGAAGCAGGGGGAACCATCACAAACAAACGCTCGAATGTCCGCGAGGATTCCTTCAACCGGCGCTGGACCCCCCTCCCTGGCGGCGAGGCGGCGCCGGAGGCGCCGCCACCGGGGAGCCAGCGAAGATCCAAGAAATCCGCGCGGAACTCCAAAATCTGGGTGGAGTTTTTGTTCTTTCTAGAATCCAGATCTCCGACGTAGTTTTCATCCCCCCTCCCGATGCGGGCACCCGGAACTCTCGGCCCTTGTGGCCAGTCTTTCCTCGGGTCTCCTGGTCTCCTCTGGTTAGGCACCAGCATCTTCAGTCAGGAGGGGAAAGGAGGCAAATTCGGCATTCAATGCCCATCTGGAGACGGCGGCCCAGAGGGGACGGGGAGCGAAGCCTGTGCACAATGGCACCTCTCCCCGTACAACGGCTAGAACCCATCATGCCCCACCTCAGCCCCCCAGCTGGCTCCAAATCCCCGGCTGTCTCATTTGGCGGCCCCTGAGCCCGAACGACGAACCCGAGCCGTCCAGAGGCCGAGTTTATGTTTGTGCGGCTTCATTCCCCAAACAGTGCTTCCACTCAGTGGTTCTTGCTTCTCTCACTAAGGAAGTGATTGGGCCCGCCGAGGTTCCGCCGCGTCGCCCCCCGTGGCCGCCTCGTGGTCGCCCACTAGGGGAGTCCGCAGAGGTTTCGTCCAGACCTTGCACCACGTCATGGGTTTCACCACACGGCTTCCACCGCACAGCTCGCACCACGCAGTTCGCACATCCACAGCTCAATTCGTGGGTGGAAGACATATCCGCATCCACGGCCTCGCGGGCCGGACCCCTTGGGCCGCGACCCCACGGATACGGGACGGTTTTTCGCGGTTGCCCCGCGCGCAATGCATCCGTGCGACCGCGTCTCCGCGGGATTGGGCCCCGGAGTTCAGACCGCGAGGGCGGGGACAGGGATGTGTTCGCCGCTCGCGTGCTGTTGTTTACACTTCGGGGCCCACACTGGCAAACATGTTGCTCACGCTGGGCATCGTGGCCATTCCGGGCGTGCCAAGAGGGGGCCTTCTGCGGGGGCAGCTTCTCGAGCGGATCGTCCACTCTGCGGCCTCCGACGTCTCGCTTGGCGGCCCCTGGGCCCGAACGACGAGCCCTCCGGAGGCCGAGTTTGGGGCCGGGCAGCCAGGTGCCCACGTGTTGCTCCGTGCCCACGCCGCGCGTGCCAAGAGGCGGCCGCAGGGTAGGGCTGACGCCCCCGCGGGGGCACAGGCATCCGTCGGAATCTGACGACGTAATCTTATGAGGTCGAGGAGGCTTTGCGGCAGGTGCCGCCGACCCTGGAGGCTGACCTGATCGCTAATCGAACAAATTGGTAGTTTGAAAGTTGAATCTTAAGTTCGGCGCCGAGAGAGCGTCCCGAAAGATTGCAGGAGTCCCCGAAAAATGTTTGAACGCTTCCCTGGAAGGTTCCTTTCCTTAGGCACCCAGAAGTTCCTTAGAAAGTTCCCGGGACCTCGGAGGGCTCCAGGGTCACCCCAGGGGTTCCTGGAGAGTTCGACGCCCAGGTTTTCAGGGTTCCCCCGGGGGGTCCTGAAGGGTTCGAGTGTCCCCCGGGGTTCCTGGATGGTTCCAGGGTCCTCCCAAGGGCTCCTGGAGGGGTTGACAGGTTCCAGGAGCCCCCCAGAAGCGTTCTGAAGGTTTGAAGGGCCCCCGGAGGGTTCGACGGCACCCCCCCGGGCGTTTCCTCGAGGATTTCATGCAGGGTCCCCCATGGTTTTCTCGAGGGTTCGAGTGCCCCCCGGGCGTTCCTGGAAGGTTTCAGGGCCCCCCCGGGGGCCCCTGGAGGGTTTGGGAGGGTTCCGGGAGCCTTTCAGAAAGTTTCTGGAGGGTTCGAGGGTCCCACAGAGGGCCCCTGGAAGATTCAAGGCCTCGCAGGATTTTGAGAGAGTTCCGTTCCCGTGAGTTTGAGGGTTCGAAGGCCCTGCAGAGGGTCCCTGGAAGGTCCTAGGGTCCTGGGAAGGTTTTCGGAGGCTTCCAGGGCATCCCTGGAAGGTTCCTGGAGGGTTCGAGGGTTCCCAAGAGGGCTCCTGCAAGTTCCAATGGCCCCCAGGGGGGCCCTGGACGGTTTGAAGGTCCTCTGAGAGGTTCTAGGGCCTGTATTGAAGCGACGCTGTGCCACACAGCGCCTCCTGGAGGCCGTCGTGAAAATGGTGGCCAGGCGCAGCTCCCTTCCTGGTGCAGGGCCCTCGGCAGGCCTGAGCGTCCAGTCCTCCGTCCCTCCCTCCCCCCTTCCCCTCCTCATCATCCTCCATTCCTTTTCCTTCTGAATAACTTCTCCCTGTCGCACCCCAGAGGCCAGTTTTTAGAGCGGGCCGGGCGTTTCGCCGTAGACTTCCTCACCACTTATGACCTTGAAGCTCAAAAATTGGCAACAGTTTCACAGATGTAGGGCGGGTGGTTTTCAAAATGTGGCTTTCGCTTTGGCGCCGCGCACATTCGTTTAAAAATGCAAGAGCTTGACGGATTGAGGGCGAGTTGTTTTCAAAATGTGGCTCTCGCCTTCGCGCCGCGCATCTTTTGTGTTACAAGGGCTTCACGAATTGAGGGCGGGCCGTTTTCAAAATGTGATTCTCGCCTTAGCGCCGCTTACACTCGTCTTAAACCATTTGCCAGAGCTTCACGGATTGAGGGTGGTTTTTTTTCACAATGTGGTTCTCACCGTAGCGCCCCTCACATTCGCTTCAAACATTTGCAAGAGTTCCACGGATTCCCGTGATCGGCGTGCCAGAAGTGGTATTTTGGAGGGCTTCAGGACCATGGGGGTGCAACAGCTAAGTTGATTCGTTGTGTTGAAGTCCCAGGAATGGCATTCTGGCACCATTTAGGATCGTCAAGGCGCAACGGTCAGGTTTATCCGTGACGTTGGAATCCCAGGAACAATGTACTGGCATGCTCCAGGGTCTTTAAATTATTGTCTTCCAACGAGGCACCTCCCTCAGTGGAAATGAACCGTTGCCAGGGCCTATGAAGAGAGAGCGTGGAGGGAGGGTTTAATCAACATCGCTGATGATTCTTAAGTATACACTGGTCCTCCTTCTCCACCTCTCCTCCTCTTTCTCCCCCCCTCCTTTTCCCCCCTCTCCTCTTCCATGGTGGCGTGCCGTGCTGGCGGCCCGGGTAAGCCGCGGCGTGAGGTCGTTATGTCTTCTCGCGTAAGCCCCGTGGCCCATCTCTCTTGCCAGCTTCCCAACAACACCAACAACAACAGCAACCGCAACAACAACAACAGCCACAATAACAGCAACAATAATAATAACAAAAATAACAACAGCAACACAAACACCAACAGCAACAACAACCACAACAACGGCAACAACAACGACGAAGACAACAACAACGACAACGACGACGACGACGACGACGACAACAACGACAACGACAACGATCAGTTTAAGACTGTTCGCTCTTACTGGCAGGCGTGTCTTGCATTCCGTATACCCCAACCCCCGATACCCGCCCACATTTAGAGTCAAGCCACCGCTCGAGCGGGAGCCTCGTTTTCAGAGAAAATGTAGCCGGCGTCGAGGCGAGAGCGCGCGGAATCGTTTCCGGATATCAACAACAATTATTATGTAGAAATGAATGTTCAACACCAACGGCAACAACAACAACAACAACCATAACACCAACAACAACGACAACAACAATGACACCAACAACGGCAACAGCAGCAACAATAACAATTATAACAACAACGACAACGATACGACGACGACAACAGCAACAGCAACAACAATGACAACGACAACCACAACGACGACAACAACAACGACAACAACAACGACAACGACAACGACAACAACCATCACAACAACATCAGCAGCAACAACACCAATAACAACAGCGACAACGACAACTATAACGACAACAACAATAGTAACAACAACAATCATTTTAACACTGTTCGCTCTTACTGGCACGCGTGTCTTGCACTCCGTATACCCCAACCCTCGATACCCGCCCATTTCGTCTTCGATTGCACCCCCTTTCGGGGGGAATCTCTTCCTTGTCGGCCACTGACTGAAGTGCGAAGAAGTCTCGAGCGAGAGCGTCGTTCCTGAGTTCGGGGGCCTCTCTGGCCAGGGGCTCTCGGAATACCTATGGAGAAATATCGAGCGGGAGCCCTTGTCGCCATGTCCGGGCCTCCACCAACTTGACTGAATCACGGGAAACTCTTGAGCGAGAGCGCCGTTTCTGAGTTCGGGGGCCTTCTTGGCCAGGGGCTCTCGGAGTAAATCGTGAGGAAATATCGAGCAGGAGCCCTTGTCGTCGTGGCTGGGCCTCCGCCAACTTATTTGACTTGCGAGGAAGTCTCGAGCGAGAGCGCCGTTCCTGAGTTCGGGGGTCTCTCTGGCCAGGGTGTATCGGGGCAAATTGTAAGGAAGTATCGAGCGGGAGCCGTTGTTGTCGCAGCTGGGCCTCCGAGGGCCCACATTTAGGGTCAAGCCACCGCTCGAGCGGGAGCCTCGTTTTCAGAGAAAATGTAGCCGGCGTCGAGGCGAGAGCGCGCGAGCCGCTTCAGGAGATCAACAATAATCATGATTTGGAAATGAGTATTCAATAACAACAACAACAACAACAACAACAACAACAACAACAACAACAACGACAACGACAACGACAACGACAACGACAACGACAACGACAACGACAACGACAACGACAACAACAACAACAACTACAACAACAACAACAGCAACCACAACCACAACCACAACAACAATAATAATAATTTTAAGACTGTTCGCCCTTATATGCTCGAGTGTCCAATAACGCGTATTTCCCAAAACCTCGATACCCGCCTTCTTCGTCTTCGATCGAACCCCTTTTGGGGGGTATACCTTTCTTCCCTGCAGGCCAGGCCCCGGCAAGCGGCGGGGCGGCCGCGGACCGTCGGCCTGGCCAGCGGCAGCGCTCATTGGCGGGGCGGCCGCGGACCGTCGACCCGACCCCAAGAGGGACGGACAGGGGACCGACCACGACGACGACGATGTCGAAGACGACGGCGACGACGACGACGACGGCGACGACGAGCGAAAGCGAGAGCGAGAGAGAACGACAGCAGAGCCACGAAGGGCACGAAGTAGGCCACGAAGGGCGACAGCGGGGACAACGAGCGGGGGCCACGAAGTGCAGATAATGCGGGGCCACAGAAGGCAACCATGGGGCCACTGAGGGTGGCAACTGGGCCACGTAGGACAGTGAGGGGGACACAGATGGCGACAGCGGGGCCACGAAGGGCATGCACATGGGGCCACAATGGGCGCGACTCCTGGGTGCCTGGGTGTCGGGAGCGCGGCGCTTGGGCAAATTGTAGGACATTCCAACGCAAGGCCATTCTTCAGAAAGTTGCAAGCAAGTCTCCAGCGAGAGCGCGACTCCAGAGCGCCAGGAGAGCGATTCCTAAATAAATTGTAAGGAAGTCCCACGCGAGAGCGCGATCCCTGAATAAAATGCGAGGAAGTCTCGGGCGGGAGCAGGGGTCCTGGCTAAATTGCAAGGAAGTCTCAGGCGGGAGCCGTTGTTGTTGTATCCCGGGGGCCAGGGGCACAGTTTGAGCATCAAGGCTTTCCTTGTCAAAAAAGCAGGGTGCGAGCGTCGAGGGCACAGTTTGACTGAGAAAAACATTATGCACCGGTGGGGGGGATCAGCAATAATTAATTCGGACATGAGAAGTCAACAACATCATCAGCAACAACAACAACAACAACAACACCAACAACAACAACAACAACAACAACAACAACATCAACATCAACATCAACATCAACATCAACATCAGCAGCAGCAATAACACCAAACTGTATTTCCAGCTTCCGGGCCCTGTCCCTGCACAGTGCTGCGCCAGTCTTGGACTCGTCGGGGGGGGGGGGGGGGGACGCCGACCCCGCGGAGGGGGGCGCAGGACTGCGAGAAGCACCTCGGCTGGGTCCCGCGCGGCGCCGACGGCGCGCTGCCGCTGCGGTGCCAGGAGTGCCGGGCGCGCGCCGGGGAGCTCCCAGAGGCGCCCGCGCGCCCGCTCGGGAGCGAGGCCCGACGGCGCCAGAGAGCTGCAACGGCGCAGCAGCCCACGACCAGAGCCCCAGGCCCCGCCTTGCTGCGCCATGTTTCGGGCCGGACCGATCTGCGAGCGTCCGGGGGGCCCGAACTGGGGCGAGAACGCCCATCGCGAAAAGAGATTGCAACGCCAGGATCTCAGGGTAATGGTGGGTGGTAAATGGGGGGGGGTCACGTTTTTTGTGCCCCAGAGGGGCCCCCTGGGGCCCAGAAGGGGCACAAGAGACGCAAGTGTCTACCCCGCCCGACCCTCCCATGTCTCTCCCCCCCCCCATGAAGCAACGCCCCATCTCTGGAGGGTCAGGGGCAACGATAGTGGGGGACAGGCCCAGGAGGGGATGCATCGACCCCCAATCGCCCACTCATCGCAAACAAGGGCCTGATAGCCCACCCAACCCAGGAACGTGCGGACTCGCTATCGGGAGCCTATCGCCGATATATCGGCGATGCATCACCGATTACAGCTCGATGTTTCCCCTCAGCTGGTCCCCCCCTGTCTGAGGTCAAGCAGTGGCGAGGCGTCTTGGCTTGCCGATAGGTCCACCAAAGAATGTGCTAAGAACTTGTTGTGGTTTGCACGAGATGTTCTTAGAAAGTTTCTGGTTGATGCCGTCCTGATATGATACGTCGGCTCGATGTTCTAAGAACATTGTTTTTCTTCTTCGAACATTCGCTTGTTCGAGACAGATGTCGTGGCAGGCCTATACGAATGCAGGGACGGTCGGTCCCTGCTCAAGGGGGGCAGGGTGGCGCCCTCTCCAAGACCTCCCAGGTGGGGCCCAGATGCCGAGATCTCCGACGATCTGATTTGGTCTCTCCCAGCGGTTTTTCTCCCAGAGAAGGGGTCGGGATTGCTGGGGCGCGGATTGAAAAAATCATACCCGCGGGTGTGAGGGGATGGCGCGCTCTGCTCGAAGTTCGAGGAGGAGGAGGAGGAGGAGGAGGAGGAGGGGAGGAGGAATACGGAGGAGGAGGAGGGGCCAGGATGTGCCCCGCGATGTGTGCCCCAGGCGTGCCACGGGGCCAGGCCCAAGGGGTCGGGGGTGGGGACCCATTCGGGACCCTTCAGGACTTGGGAGGAGGAGGAGGAGGAGGAGGAGGAGGAGGAGGAGGAGGGGAGGAGGAGGAGGGGGAGGAGGAGGAGGAGGAGGAGGAGGAGGAGGAGGAGGAGGAGGAGGAGGAGGGGAGGGGAGGAGGAGGAGGAGGAGGGGGAGGAGGAGGGGGAGGAGGAGGAGGAGGAGGAGGAGGAGGAGGAGGAGGAGGAGGAGGAGGAGGAGGAGGAGGAGGAGGAGGAGGAGCAGCAACAGCAGCAGCAGCAGCAGGAGGGGGAGGGGGAGGGGGAGGGGGAGGGGGAAGAGAAGACGGAGGGGGTGGAGGAGGAGGAGGAGGAAGAGGAGGAGGAGGAGGAGGCAGCTCTGGAGGAGGAGGAGGAGGAGGAGGAGGAGGAGGAGGAGGAGGAGGAGGGGGAGGACGAAGGAGAAGAAGAAGAAGAAGAGTCGAAGAACGGAAACATGGATTAATGCGTGTCGATTAACGACGGACCCAGCTTCCATGCGAAATCGACGCGCTCCGTTGCCAAATGAGGCGGCATCGGCTTCACGTTCGGGGGGTACTTCCCCCGATCCGTAGATCGAATCTGGCGCCCACGCGCCGCATTCACGGATCCCTCATCCATCTTAGCGTGTGCTCGAAGGGGGGAAACCCACACCTCCTCTCGCTGCGAAGACATCACGGCGGAAGGCTTTTGCCCATTTTCGGCCTCCGGGTGGCTCAAGAGGCTCGGGCACGCACCCTGGGGCGGATCCCGCACCCCGCCCTGGCCCCCCTCCTTCGGGTCATTTCCCGTGTTACGCTCGAAGGCTTCAACGGCAGCGCCCGAATGGCGGCCCTGCATTGCAGCACACCCTTCACGCGCTTCGTGGCCCTATCGGCATATCCAACGGAGGCGATACTCACAACGACTGTATTGACAGCTACATATGCTTGGGTCCTTCGCCAGGCTAATTTCAAAACGTCGATCCCCAGAGGTCTCGACCCATTCCCCTGGTCCGGTTGTTTCTTCTGGTCCTGGTTTGGCGGTCCAGGGGCCCGGTGAGGGCCCCCAGAGGCTGAAAATGGCGGAAAACCTCCCGTCGTGACTTCTTCATTATTCGAGGGGGTCTGAGAGCATTGTTCAGGTCGCTGCCTGGGAGAATGAGCACTTGTGTCGGAACGCGGCGCCGACCGGAGCCGACACCCCCCCGGCAGGCGGCGGTTTCGCACGGCGGAGCGCCCGTTGCAGCGCAGCACCCGCCGGGCGGTGGTGCAGAGGAGTCGCTCGAGGACCGCGTGGCCTTTGGGACCGTCGCCGCCGTCGTCGTCGTCGTCGTTGTCGTCGTCGTCGTCGTCGCCGCCGCCGCCGCCGTCGTCGTCGTCGTCGTCGTCGTCGTCGTCGCCGCTTGAATGCGGGGCAATTCGCAAGACCGCAGCCCGGGTTGCCTGGAAGCGCGAGCGGACTGCCTTTGCTGCGCTGCGACGCAAACAATATGTCTGCGACGGGCTCAGACCCATCGGGTCATGACGGGAGTGTTCTGTTATTGTTCAACTTCTGGGGGCCCTCACTGGGCCTCTGGACCGCTCCCAAAACAAACATTCCGGATGAACAATCGTTTCAGGGGAATGGGTCGAGATTTTTGGGTGTCGACGTTCGGAAAAAATCATGACGTCGGGGGTCTGGGGGTTCGGCCAGGCAGGATTTCAGCGATTCCGAAAGCTTTGACTAGGGCCCAGGATCGGTCACGTTCTGATTTTCAAGAACCTGGTTCGAGCCGTCAGTTCTGTAACTGCCCAGCATCTCTCTGCGGATGTTGGTCTTTCATTGGGGGGAAAGCCCTGGCTACAGCGCCCAGGTGCCATCGGGCCCGTCGACCAGCTTGGCGTGCTCTCTGCCCCTGAGTGAAAAGAAATTGCTAGAAACCCACTGTTTGGGGCCATGCTGATCAGCATTAGAAAAATTATCCGGGCGAAAGACCCAACCATATGCAGTTGTGAATACCGCCGTTGTGAGAACTGCCTTCGGTGGATCTCCCCATGGGCACGACGCGCGCGGAGGGTGCGCCGCAATGGGGCGGGGCCGCCATGCGGGCGTTGCCTGTAGAGCATTCGGTGGATTCCCCTATGGGGCCAAGCCACGAAACGTGTGAGGGGTGTACCAAAAGTGGAGGGGGCGGCATGCAATTCATGCCGCTGGGGCCTTCCGTGGAGCTCCCTGTGTTGCCACAAAACGTGTGAGGCGTGTGCCAAAGTGGGGTGGCCGGCAAGCGGACCATGCCACTGGGGGGTTCGGTGGAGCTCCTTGTGAGGCCACGAAACGTCTGAAGGGCATGCCAAACTGGAGGAGTGGCGGCACGCGAAGCATGCCACTGGGGCCTTCAGTGGATCTCCCTGTGGCGCCGCGAAACGTGTGAAGGGTGTGCCGAAATGGGGCGGGGGCGGCATGCGAACCAGGCCATTGGGGTCTTCGGTGGAGCTACCTATGGGGCCACGAGAAGTGTAAAAAGGTTCGCCGCAACGGCGGGTGGAACCGCATGCGGGCGCTGCCACTGGGGCTTCGGTGGAGCTCCCTGTGGGACCACGAAACGTGTGAGGGGTGCACCGCAAGAACTGCATGCGGGCGCTGCCACTGGGGCCGTCGGTGAAGCTCTGGGGCCACGAAACGTGTGAGGGGAGTGCCGAAACGAGGGTGGAACCGCATGCGGGCGCTGCCACTGGAGCCTGCGGTGCAGCTCCCGATGGGACCACGAAACGTGTGAGGGGCGCGCCGAAATTGTGGTTGGAACCGCATGCGGGCGCTGCCAGTGGGGCCGTCGGTGGAGCTCCCTTGTGGGGCCACGAAACGTGTGAGGGGTCCGCCGAAATGTGCGAGGGGTGCACCGCAATTGGCGGTGGAACTGCATGCGGGCGCTGCCACTGGGGCCTCCGGTGGAGCTCCCGATGGGGCCATGAACCGTGTGAGGGGTGCACCGCAATGGGGGTGGAATTGCATGCGTGCTGCCACTGGGGCCTTCGGTGGAGCTTTGTATGGGGCCACGAAGAGTGTGAAGGGTGTGCCGAAATCGAGGGTGGAACCGCATGCGGGCGCTGCCACTGAGGCCTTCGGTGGAGCTCCCTTTTGGACCACCAAACGTGTTAGGGGTGCACCGCAATGGGTGTGGAACTGCATGCGGGCGCTGCCACGGTCGCTGCCACTGGGGCTTTCGGTGGAGCTCCCAATGGGGCCACGAAACGTATTAGAGATGTGCCGAAGCATTGACGCGCGGAGGGCAAAGGCTGGGATGGGACCGGGGGAAGAGGGGTAGAGGAGGAGAGGAGGATGCGGGGCGCTGTCTTTTCAAAACGAGGACCCAACACCCCAGGATGGCTGGGAATACAAAGCAAAAGAAGAGTAACTAAAAGATGTAAGCCTGGCCCAAGCTGGCCCTGGAGAGGTGGCCCAAACTTCAGCTAGCCCAAGCTTTGCTGGGGAGGCAGACCCCAGGAGCTCCACAGTGGCACGAAAAGCTGGGGGCACGTTGGACCAAGACCCCCATGTTCCCTGGCGTTCAGACCGTGGGTTCCTCGTCCAAGGGTTCCTTATATCCGGCGCCCTCACCGTATCCCCTCTTCTCCGTTGGCACGGGGCGGTCCTCGAGGAGAGGCGCCTCCTGGGCTCCCCCCTTGCCCTCCACGAAGCCCCCGCAGAGCCCCCGAAAAAAATGTCCCGCAGAATCCCCTGGCCTCGGCGAGAGGGCCGACCCCATCTAAGCAGCTCAGGGACCTCTCAGCCCACTTCCTCTGGGAAACGCCGCTTCCTCGAGGAAGTGGCGATCCCCCTGGTGGTGATCCCCCCTTTGGCATTGCCCCATGCGTCCGCTCTTCCCCCTCCCCTTCATGATACTAATCTCCTCTTTTGCCTGACTCTGTCCGGAAGATGGCGGGGCTTCTCCGCGTGTTGTTGTTTGTACACCGGATGTTAAAATTTGTTGTTACTTGTGGTGTGTCTACAATGCGATTGTTTTCGATGCTTCAAGATGGTGTTCCCGCTGCAGCGTCGGCCTCATTCTCAGACCGACGATTTGCTCCCGTCGTTCAGAATGTCGCTCTCGCCCCAGTGCGGCTTTCTGCGGGGATCCGAGTATTTCTTCATCGCTGTCGCCCCCCTCATGTCCCTTCCTCCGCCTTCCGCTTGTCCTGTTCCTCCCGCTTCTTCACTCCAGTTCCTGCTGCTACTGCTGTTCATCCTCGTCCTTTTCCCCCCGCTCATCCTCCCGCTCTCCCAACACCGCCGCCTCCTGTGCACGCCGTTGCCCGGTCCGATTGCGCATAAACGATGTGGTCTGTTTGTTGGAGTTGCAGGTCGGCCATGACACGCGCCCCCAGACGAGTAAAGTTATCTTGGCGAAGGACCCAACCATATGCAGTTGTGAGTACCGCAGTGGTGCGTATCCTCCTCGGTGGCGCTACCCATTGGGCCGCGACGTCTGTACTGGGTGGCGCGGACGCATGTGATCACAGCCATTGCGGACTTCGGTGGAGCTCCCTACGGAGCCACGAAATGCCACAGTGGGTGGCGCGGGACGCATGTAATCACAGCCACTGGGGCCTTCGGTAGAACTCCCTATGGGGCCACGAAACGCTGTACTGGGTGGGGGAGACGCATGCGAACACCGACACTGGGGGCCTTCGGTGGAGCTCCCAATGGGACCGCGAAACGCTGCACTGGGTGGGTGAGACACATGCGAACACCGCCACTGAGGCCTTCGGTGGACTTTCCCTCTGGGGCCACGAAAAGCTGCATTGGGTGGGGGGACGCATGCGAACACCGCCACTGGGGCCTTCGGTGGAGCTCCCTATGGAGCCACGAAGCGCTTCACTAGGGGGGGGGAGATGCATGCGAACACCGCCACCTGGACGTTCGGTGGAGCTCCCTATGGAGCCACGAAATGCTGAAGTGAACGGGGGTGACATACGCGAACGCCGCCACTGGAGCCCTCGGTAGAGCTCGCTATGGGGCAACGAAACGCTGTCCTGGGAGGGGGAGGTGCATGCGAACACCTCCACTGTGGCCTTCGCTGGAGCTCTCCATGCGGCCACGAAGCGCTGTACTCGGTGGGGGAGACGCCTGCGATCACCGCCACTGAGGCATCCGGTGGAGCTCCCTATGGGGCCACGAAGCGCTGCGCATTCGAACACTGCCACTGGGGCCTTCGGTGGAGTTCACGGTGGGGCCACGAAACGCTGCATTGGGTGGGGGAGACGCTTGCGAACACCGTCACTGAGGCCGTCGGTGGAGCTCTGCATGGGGCAACGAAGCGTTGTACTGAGTGGGGGAAACGCATGCGAGCACAGCCAGTGGGGCCTTCGGTGGAGCTCACTATGGAGCCACGAAGCTTTGTACTTTACGGACGATGGTGATTACGATGATGGGAGGAGGGAAGGGGAGGAGGAAAGAATGATTGAGACGCGGGGCATTGTATCTTCAAAATGAGGACCCAACACCACAGGATGGTGAGGATATTACCCTGGCGACGTACCCAACCCTGACGCACTGCGGGGCATAAGTGCATCAGGATTACTACAACGGGAGCGGTGACGTAATATAGACGCATGTGATGGTCCGAGCATCAGGTTCGCAGGCCCCCGATCAAGATCTAAGGGCTACGTAATAACAAAGCACCCCCGTTGGCTGCGCCATGCGCCCGTTGTACCCAACGTATCCCGCAGCAGCTCTTGAGAGCCCCCCCCCCCAGGGACGGCGAGGTCCCGCTCAGATCCCCGCGGTGCCTCACTCCGCAAGACCCACCAGCAGCCTTCGAAAGTGGCGTCAATGTCGCAAATCGCAGCCCCCCAGGGACGGCGAGGCCCCGCTCAGATCCCCGCCGCGCCTCACTCCGCAGGACCCACCAGCAGCCTTCGAAAGTGGCGACAGTGTCGCAGATCGCAGCCCCCCAGTCCCGCTCAGAGCCCCGCGGTGCCTCACTCCGCAGGACCCACCAGCAGCTCCCGAACGTGGCGACGGTGGTCGCAGATCGCAGCCCCCCAGGGACGGCGAGGTCCCGTTCAGATCCCCGCGGCACTTCGCCCCGCAGGACCCACCAGCAACCTTCGAAAGTGGCGACAGCGTCGCGGATCGCAGCCCCCAAGGGACGGCGAGGTCCCGCTCAGATACCCGCTGTGCTCCACTCCGCAGGACCCACCAGCAGCCCTCGAAAGTGGCGACAGTGTCGCAGATCGCAGCCCCCCAGGGACGGTCTCGCGGACCCACCAGCAGCTTTCGAAAGTGGCGACAGTGTCGCAGATCGCAGCCCCCCAGGGACAGCGAGGTCCCGCTCAGATCCCAGCGGCGCCTCGCTCCGCAGGACCCACCAGCAGCCTTCGAAAGTGGCGACAGCGTCGCAGATCGCAACCCCCCAGAAACGGCGAGGTCCCGCTCAGAGCCCCGCGGTGCCTCACTCCGCAGGACCCACCAGCAGCCCTCGAGAGTGGCGACAGCGTGACAGATCGCAGCCCCCCAGGGACGGCGAGGTCCCGTTCAGCCCCCTGCGGTGCCTCACTCCGCGGGACTAACCAGCAACCCTCGAAAGTGGCGACAGTGTCGCAGCTGGCGGTCCCCCAGGGACGGCGAGGTCCCGCTCAGATCCCCGCGGCGCCTCACTCCGCAGAACCCAACAGCAACACTCGAAAGTGGCGACAGTGTCGCAAATCGCAGCCCCCCTGAGACGGCGAGGCCCCGCTCAGATCCCCGTTGTGCTTCACTCCACAGGACCCACCAGCAACCCTCGAAAGTGGCGACAGTGTCGCAGATCGCGGCCCCCCAGGGACGGCGAGGTCCCGCTCAGATCCCCGCGGCGCCTCGCTCCGCAGGACCCACCAGCAGCCTTCGAAAGTGGCGACAGTGTCGCATATCGCAGCCCCCCAGGGACGGCGAGGTCCCGTTCAGCCCCCTGCGGTGCCTCACTCCGCAGGACCCACCAGCAGCTTTCGAACGTGGCGACAGTGTCGCAGATCGCGGCCCAGGGACGGCGAGGTCCCGCTCAGATCCCCGCGGTGCCTCCGTCCGCAGGACCCACCAGCAGCCCTCGAAAGTGGCGACAGTGTCGCAGATCGCAGCCCCCCAGGGATGGCGAGGTCCGCACAAAGCAAGAGGAGAGGGAGACGGGAGGCGGGAGGAGGCAGGCGGGAGGAGGAGGCGGGAGGAGGAGAAGGAGGAGGAGGAGAAGGACTGGAAACCGCAGTGCTCTATTCAAAACGAATGCCCAACCAAGGAGGCATGGGGAAACAAATTGCTCAATGGGAAGGGATGGGATGAATAGATAGGATGTCAGATGAGGCGCGAGCGCGCCTAGCTTGCCTTCCCCCTCTCTCCCTGCCGACCGAGTGTTGACCAGTGGCGTCCAGCTCATCCTCCTCCTTCCGCATTCCCTCCTGGGGAGGAGGTGGTGGAGTGGTGGAGGAGGAGGCAGACTTGCCCCAGCAAAACAACCCAATAGCAGCAAAGGTGAAGAGTCGGGTCGAAAAGTAGGAGGTCGGTTAGTCTCAACATGCATTCTTAGGTAGTCCTCCGGGTTCTTGGGCGTGACAGAGGTGAGAGCACGGCCGCGCGCACGGTAGTTTATTTGTTATAAGGGGTCGTGGCCGTGTGACAGGGGTTAGAGCACGGCCATGTGCACCACAGCGCATCGGTTTACAAGGGATCGTGGCCGCTTGGACCCAAAATGTAGCAGGCACTGAAGCGAGAGCACGGTTCTTGAATAAGTCGGGGGGAAGGCTCAGGCGAAACAGTTGCCGGACCGGGCGGTCTCGGGCTCCCCGTCCCTCTGTTGGACGATCCTGTTGTTTTGCAACCGTGTGATAAACCTCAAGCGAAACGCTGTTGGGGAATCAGTCTCTGGACACTCGAGGAGCCCATCCTGGTAAGCTTTCCGAGCCACCTCCAGCTGTGGCGACGCGGACCTCCAGGTGCGCCCAGAGATCTCCGAAGCGACGGCGCCGACGGCCCTGAAAGTCGAACGTCGGACCTCTCCTGGGGTGCGTTCTGGCCAACATGTCGAGCGGAAGTCAGCCGTGGCCCCGAGGAGGTTCCTGGAGGAATGCGGTTCGGGAAGCACAGAAGTCAGCGGGCGTCCCGGCGCGGCCGCGCGCTTGGCAGATCGACGAGTGGGGTTTCCAGATCGCGTTGGACGAGATGGCGGAGGCGCCGGGCAGAGCGCAGGGGCACGACGGCTCCGGCCGTGCTGGGAGTTGTTGGGCAATAGGTCACGGAAGTTTCCGCTCGCTTCACGCAGATGGAATGCACCGCCGACGTTGCCGATGCATCGGCGATGCTGCGCGTTCCTCCGACCCCACCTACTCGGATCCCATGTGGGAAGTTTCGCAATGAGGAGGAGGAGGAGGAGGAGGAGGAGGAAGACGAGAAGGTGACGAGCTACGTGCGAGGAAGACGAGAAGGTGTCTGCCCCGACCTCCCTTTCGGAAGTTTCCGCTCGCCTCACGTAGATGGAATGTGTAGCGCCGAATAGTGTCCAACAGCGTTCAAGGAGTGCCCAAAGGCGCCCAGCAGTGCCGAATAGAGTTCAAGTAGTTCCCATTTGCGATCAGTAGCTCCTAGTAGCGCCATGTGAGGGAGATGTGGTGTGTCATCTTTACCCGCGATTGGGATCGCTACTGGGCGCCATGGGGACGACCAGAAGCTTCCGTGAGTTGGTTTCTAAGAGTTGGGCAAGGTGGGGGGGGGGGGGCTTCTCCAAGCGGTAGTTACTACGATGACTACTGAGGCGACTACTGCGCCTATTGACACAACTACTTCTACTACGACAACACTGCTACTATTATAATACCCCTTCTATTTCATACACCATTCTTCGTGTGATAAAAAGGTTTGGGGATTGGCATCATCTTTGACTTGCATTGGGTGCACAACTCACCTCACGAGTGGGCGCACACACACACACACACATACACACACACACACCAGGGCATCAAGATGCATGTTAATGTATTTGTATATATGCCGAAATATCAATTCATCGGAGCTTGGGGGGTGAGATCGCAGTGTAACGGAGTCCCCCCACCGGGAAATCGAGTTTCGAGTTCGTGCTCGTGCCGTGCGTGCGGGCGAGGCGAAGCTGCGTGGGCCAGCGAGAGGAATTCACTCTGCTGTCGATAGGGGTCCGCCAACACAAATGTTTCCCCCCCCGGTGTTGTCAAGCGGTGGCCCGCATTGTCCCGTCGGTTGCCCGCCGGTTGCTCGTCATAGTTGCTCATCATGGTTGCTCATCATAGTTGCTCCTCATTGTCCCGCCGGTTGCTCATCATGGTTGCTCATCATTGTCCCGCCGGTTGCTCATCATGGTTGCTCATCATGGTTGCTCATCATGGTTGCTCATCATTGTCATCCACACCATCATCGCCAATCATCACCACGTTCAACACAGTTGTCGTCATGAGCCACCCCCCTTCCCCCACCCCCCCACAACCTCCTTATCACCCGCAGGGTGGTCGTATAGGTACAGTGGTTCATGACGACAACTGTGTTGAACGTGGTGATGATGGGCGATGATGGTGTGGATGACAATGGTGAGCAACCATGATGAGCAACCATGATGGGCAACCATGACGAGCAACCGGCGGGCAACCGACGGGACAATGCGGGCCACCGCCTGACAACACCGGGGGGGGAAAACATTTGTGTCGGCGGACCCTTAGCGACAGCAGAGTGAATTCCTCTCGCTGGCCCACGCAGCTTCGCCTCGCCCGCACGCACGGCACGAGCACGAACTCGAAACTCGATGTCCCAGTGGGGGGACTCCGTTACACTGCGATCTCACCCCCCAACCTCCGATATATATATATATATATATATATATATATATATATATATATGTATACAGGTCCCCTGTATGGGTATACCCGTCCCCCCCCCTTTGGCAAGGACACGCCGCCCCAACACGTCCGTAGCCTGTTTGGGCTAAAGTACCCAAGCATATCTTCGAGATCACGGCCACGAGCTGTCTCGGTGGCCGCGAGGCCCGCCGCGGTGGCCGCCATCCGCCCTCCTCGCGCTCCTGGCGGCGGCGCAGGGAGGCGAGGGCCGCTGGTCTGGCTTCTGGCAGGCGCGGGGCTGGATGGCCCAGGCGGCTGTCGAGGACCTCGACGGTGGTGACGAGGACCTCTGGGAGGCGCCGGAGGCCGACGTGCCCGCGCCCGTGGAGGACGGGCCCGTGCCGATCGTCCCGCTGGAGGTAGCCCTGGGCAAATGCTACTGCAGCACGGGCTACACGGCGGGCGGCCTCGAGCAGTGCTGGTTCGCGTGGCGGGCGCTGCGTGTTACCAGCGCGAAGCCGCCGCAGCGCTTCGTGAGGGCGGAGTTCCTCTTCAGCGGCGACGGCTACTGGGACTGGTGGGCAAGCCACCCTGGGCAGCCGAGCGCGGTGACGGCGCGCCCGCTCATCCACGCGTGCTCGGAGAGCCCGTGCTCCGTCGAGGAGGGGCCGGGGACGTGCACCGAGCTGATCCACGTGGCGGACGGGGCCGAGCTCGGCCTGACGGACCTGCGGGCGCTGTTCGCCGAGTGCCAGGAGGTGAATCCAGAGGCGGCTTGGCCAGCAGCACGCCTCGGGGCGCTGGTCGCCGCCGCCGCCCCCGCGAGGCCCGCCGCGGTGGCCAAACCGGCGGGGCGCCCACCAGCCGCGGCAGGTCCTCTCAGGGCCCCGCCTGGCGCTGCCCCCTTCGACGACTTCCTGAGCGTAGGAGGCTCGTCGCGCGGCCCTGGCTCGGAGCTGGCCGCAGAAGAGGAGGCGGCTGCCGCGGGCGGCCTGGGAGGCAAGCTCGCAGGGGCTCGTGCGCGCTTCGAGGAGGGGAAGCGGGCTGCTGGAGACGTCAACCTGGACGGCCCCCCCCTCGGCGCGGAGGCGGCTGGCGAGGGGCCCGCGAAGAGGCGGTCGCTCGGGGACCTGCTGGTCGAGCGCGCCGCGAAGCTCAAGAGGGCCGCCTCCGACGCGGCTCCCCGAGGGTCGAGGGGCCCTGCGCCCGAGCGGGCGCCGCCAGGAGCAGGCCTGAACGGCGGCATGCGGGAGCTCGCGCAGGCGCTCGCGATGGCCATCCGCGAGGGCAAGGAGGCCCCACCTGGCGACATCGGCGGGGACGGCCTCAGCTCCACGGACCCCGCGGCGGTGCCGCGCGACCTGGCCACGAAGAGGGCCTTCTGTCGTCGGATGGCCGCCGCCGCCCCGGGCCGCCTCACGGAGCTGAGCCTGCAGCAGATGGCGGACTTCCTGGGCTCGCAGGAGGGGCGGGCGGCCGTCGACGCGACGGGCCCGATCGCCCTTCGGCACCTCCTCACGATCTACCTGCCGCAGCACCCGGCGATGGAGATCGGCGCGCAGACGCACCGCGAGCTCCGCACCCTCGCGGAGGCGGTGGACCTGCTGATGCAGGGGAAGTCGGCCCACGCCTGCGACCTGATCGTCCAGCGCCTGAAGGCGCTGCAGGTAGCAACGACGGACGGCTCGTGGGCGGCGGCGAAGTGGTTGGAGCTGATCCCGCCGCGCGACGAGCCCACGGCCATCCGCAGCGAGGAGGGGGAGCTCATCCGCAGCATCCAGCTCGGCGAGATGAAGCTGGACGAGCTCTCCGCGCGGCTGGCCGCCGCCAAGACGCCAGGATAGGGCGGAGGCCCGACGGGGGCGCGCCCGCCGCTGGCGCCTCCGTCTGTTGGCCAGGCAGGGGGGGCACCCCCTGCGACAGCGCAGGCAAAGGGACCTGGGGGACAGGCCCCCCGCCAGCCGCCGGCTCGGCCGCCCCGCGGGAAGGCTTCCGCAGCGGCTCCGCCAGCGCCCCTGGCAGCGGGCGCGGGCGGGCCTCCTCCGCGGGCCGCGGGGTCGGCAGCCCCGCCGCCGTGGAAGATGTCCTTCGCGGAGATGCGGAAGAAGTTCCCGAAGCAGCCGGGGGAGACGAACACCCAGCACCGCCTGCGAGCCTTCAAAGCTCGTGCGGCGGCGCGCCCCTGTCGGACCTGAGCGGCGGCAGCCTGCCGCCTGCTCCGCGCTATGGTGGAGCCTCCTCCGGGAGGGTGGCCGATGCCTCCGTCAAAGGCGCGAGCCCTGCGAGAGGCGCTGGAGGAGGAGTCCGCGGCGTGGGCCAAACTCGGTTTACCGAGGGCGGAGAACGTGCCACCCTATGCGGGGGGGGGTGAGGGCGTCGCGGAGCCCCCGCTGGCCACCGCGCTGCAGTGCTGGTCCGACGAGCTCTCCTTCGACTTCGGCAAGAGCATCGTCGCGGTCGACCTGGCGGCGCGGCTGGTGGCAGCAGTGCGACGCCACCCGGGCACCTTTGGCAACTTCGCTCGGTCGTTCAGCATGCGCGCGGACACATTTTGTGGGAGCGGAGGGTCGTCGAACAGGAGGGTTCGGGACGCCCTGCCCCTTCCGTCGACCGAGGAGGTGGACCGCTGGCTGGCCCATAGCGCCTTGCCCAAGGCACGCAGGTGCCGCCGCCGCGCCGTTGCGCGGGAGGTCAGCGAGCAGGCGCGGCTGTACCTCAGCGTGGCGGCGCTCAACTACGCGTTCTGCGGCCGCGCGCAGGAAGGCTGGCGCCACAGGCCGACCCTGTCGAAGGCGCAGACGCAGGTCTACGTGCACCTGAAGAGCCGAGCGGCGGCCCTGGCGGAGGACCCGCTGGCCGTGGTCGCGGCCCCTGCGATCGACGAGCTGGCGGGCGGCTGCGGGTCAGCGTACGAGGGGGAGTCGGGCGTGAAGGCCCTCCCCTGCCGGCTCTGCGAGCTGGCCCCTGGCCTGCCCGCGCGGGAGTGCGCTGCCACGCTCGACGCGATCGACTTCGTGGACGACGAGGTCGGCGCCTGGCTGCGCCGCCCCGAGCTGGCGCTCCTCGACCAGTCCGACTGGCCCGACCCGCTGCCGCGGGCCCGCGTGAACGTGGAGACGGAGGCGGACTGGGAGGAGCTGGCGCTGCACCTCGCGTCGCTCGGCATCTTCACCACGCTCGCGGAGAGCGAGCTGGTCCGCGTGAGGGGCGAGCCCGTGCTGAACGGCCTGTTCGCGGTGGAGAAGAAGGGCACTCCAGCGCCTGGCGCGACGCGGGTCACCAGGCTCATCCTCAACATGGTGCCGGGCAACTCGCTCCTGAAGGCCCACGTCGGAGAGGCGGCGCTGCTCGCGGCCTCGACGTCCTGGACGT